GAGGGCGACAAATGTACAAATGTGCTTGACACAATGGATGGATGGATGGATTGTGATAAGAGTTGTATGAGCCCCCAATAAAATGATTAAAAAATTTTTTTTAAATAAATAAAAGTTTCTGATTTTAATGGGGAAAAAAATTGTTTCCTTCTAATTAAATGGAAAGCAGTAGTCACTTAGACCAAATTAAGCCATTGTGGATTTTCCAGAATGTTCTCAATCCCATGTATCACATGTCCTCACTTTTGTGAGGAGAGTTTTGAAAAGGGGGTCCGTTTAGGGAAAGAGCAAAGGGAAGTCTTCAGGCTGAGCGGTCTGTCTGCGATCACCCTCACCTGAATAATTCGCTGGATGTTGTTCATAATCATGCTTGTTTCCATTGTAACTGACATGCTAGGAATGAGCAGAGAATTGCCAGCACTGTGCCTCTGTAACTCTTCAACCTACGGAAGGGATTCCACAAACTATGAGTAGGACAGTTTAAAATCCACCCGCTGCCACTGAGTCGATTCACACTCACAGCAACTCTACAGGGCTGAGTAGAACTGGCCCTTTCAGTTCCTGAGGCCGCAAATCTTTACAGGAGCAGAAAGCCTCACTGTTCCCCTGGGGAGTGGATAGTGGTTTTGAACCACCAACCCTGTGGTTAGCAGCCCAACATGTAACCCACGCCAACACCAGGGCTTCTTAGAAGAAGCCAATTTACCCAAGATCCAACCACTTTTTTGAGAGGGTTAGTTTCTGATACAGTCTCTAAAGGTAAGCTAGAGTTTAAATTTGTGAGTGGATCCCACAATGATAACTATTCTTCTTGCAAAAACAACTGCTGACAACTACGAAGAGGAAGAGTTTAACTATAGTACTGCTTGCAGGGTATATAAATATCTATACTTTTTACATCCCCATTTTGACACAGCCCCAACCCTGATTTGGTCACCTTGGTCATGAGATGATCCATTTTATCAGCCACTTTGCTTACTGCCATTCGGATTTCAGTGTTATGTTGCCGGGCTTCAGTCATGAGAAATGAAGCCATGTCACCTGATCCTAAACAGAACACACACACACACCAAAAAGAACCGTTATGAAACTGGAGCATAGGGTGCTGGGTAAGAACAGACCAATAGCTCTTTCAATAGATCAAAGAAAGAAATGAACACTTCCACACACGATGAAATGCTGTGGCTGGTCTCACACTATCTGGTGTCGTCGAAACAGTGGAGGTACAAGGGTACCAAAGAGCACAATCAGCTACGGTCCTGCAGAATGCATCAAGGGCTACAACTGGGCCAACAGCACAGTATGTCCTCTTGGGACTGCCATGGCACTGGCAGCTCAGACAGTTGCCCCATTCATCTAACTGCACATCAGGCATGGCACTGGAGCCAGCAATACAGCAATGAATGAACCCTCAGTGAGCTCACAGTCGGGGGGACGGGGACACGAGGACCCTAACATATAAATATATAATTTATAATAGTGTTTTAGGTTTAAAAAAGCGGACAGTGTACAAGACACGAAAGTAGCACAGATAATTGCAAGATTAACTCTTTGGAGAGCCACCTACATGGCTGTATCTCTGGGAGGAGGGAATAATAACAATCAGGATGGCGTCATAAAGAAGATGGCAGCTTTGACGGATGGAGAAGGGAGGGCAGGCAGAAAAGCTGCATTACGGAAACCCGTACCACTCTAGAACCTCAAATTCTGCTGCAGGACAGACTTGCTTCTTCCTTTCCGTGTCCATGGTGATTATGATGAAATAGATGAGCTCAGAACAGGAAGACAGGGGAGGGCACCATCTCACCTGTTCATATTTTATTTATTTTTTTTTTTTGTTCATATTTTATTTTGCTTTGGTTTTTACACAGGACACCCGCCCCTGTCCATACACAGAAGAGACTGGGAAAATTACTGAAGACTTTGTTATCACTCATCTCTCATGGACAGAGGGTTTCGTTGGCGGGGAAGGTCAGTGTTGCTCCTTTGTATGGTCTGAGTTTTTTATAAGGGTATATATCATTTTCATAATTGAACAAAATAGATTTCATTGGCGATAACACCCAGTTATCCTTCTTACTCTCAATTTCCTCCACTGTGTTGGTCTTCTTTCTGTTTCCTACCAGCAGGCCCCTCTACAGGCATCAACAAAGCAAGCAGGAGATGTGCAAGAAACAAGGGACAGGGAATGGCGTAAGGGATGACTTCCTGTTACCTTCGTTCCCCCCCTCTCATGTTCTTCCTTTCTTTACATCATCCACATTGCTCATCTATATCATGTTCTCCTCTTTGAGGAATTGCTTTTAACATTTCTTTCTCAGGGTTTGAAACATGCTATTGAGGTCTGGCTCAGTTTACAGAGCAAGTAAGTTTCCATTCAACAATTTGTACACATGGTTTCACGATGACCCTAGCTGCATGAGCCTCAGCATGACAGCACCCTCACACTTCTTTCTTTGGGGTCCTTATTGGCACCCCCTTCCTGCCTTCTGTGTTTTGTTTTTGGGCAAACACTGTCCTTTTGTACGGATGACCGTTCTCAGGAGCATGTTCCTCACTTTTTAAGCTTGTTTATTATTTGGCTAAAAGGTGACCTCTGGGAGTGGGTTCAGTTCCAGCCTAGAAGGGAGCCAAGGAGGCAATGTCTTGCGTGTTCCACGAGTTTGTTAAACCAGAATGTCTGGCCTTTTTTATGATTTAATTTTTTTCTCCTACACTGTCCAGGACTTTCTATCGTGATCCTGATCAGAGCAGTTGGTGAGGAAGCTAGACACCATCCATCTAGCTGTTCAGGTTCCAGTCTGTAGTTAATGTGGTCCATTAGTCTTCTGGACTGTTTCCTGGAGTCTTGGTTTTCTTTGCTCATCTTTACTCCAGACAGGAAAAGCCCATTATTCCTATCTTAGAGGGCTACTCGCAGGCTTTTAAGGCCCTAATCACTACTCACCGAAGTAGGATGTCTTTATGGGCTGTGTTATGCCAACTGGACTAGCTATTCACTGAGACTATAAGCCACTATAAGTGGGCAGGAAGGATTTTCTTGGTATGATGAAATGTTTTAAAATTAAGTAGCTCTGTAGAGTAACTAGATATTTTAAAATTAAGTAGCTCTGCTTTAAAATTAAGAGCTCTGTAGATTAACTAAAAAAATCATTGAATTCTTACTCTTAGAATGAGTGGATTTCATGCTATTATACTTCAACAGGTAAATTATACCTCAACAAAACTGCTAAAAATAAAAATCAGAAGCAAGGGTAGAGAGCTACTTGAAATGACTCCTTACCTTGAAAATGAGGAGACTGAGAGAGTGGTGCTGGATACAAGGGCCGAGCTGGCTGCAGCTGGGAAGTAACAGTTGCTGGCTGGGGATAAGCATAGGCTTGCATACCTGCATAGGGCTGAGAGTTAGAGCTGGTTTACAAAGCATTCATGTCTGTCTCTTTTGTTTACGTCCAGTGGTACTCAGTGACGAACGCCTACCAAAGACCATGGGAAAGGTCTCTTGGATTAGTACCCTGTCTTCTGGTTAAACAACTTAGGTAAGAATTCATTTCCCAACTATCGGGTTTATTGAATTTCTTCTTCTTCTTTTTAAAGCAACTAAGCAAACTACTCAGTAACTGAAGTATAAGGGAGGCGTTCCTTGAGAATTTAAATGAAATCTCCCAGTTTCCCAAATTGGGATGGTCTGGTTTGCATCTCCCTGAGATTCATCTCTGTGACCAAGTGTCTTATTTTCCTCTGCTCTTCAGTCTCAATTGTAAAAATGATAGCAATCCCCCCATAAGGTTGCTGTGTGGACTAAAGGAAAGCTGAAGGGATAGTTCCTAACAGCTACTAAGTTAAGGGCCTGGCAGAGAGTAAATGTCCAATAAACATCACCCATTATTAAAAGATATACTCAGAATTATTCTTCCTTGAAATAAATAAATCCTAACTCTGCATCTATTATAGAAAAATCTAATCTAAAGGACAGGAATCCTCTACTGGGGGGTGGAGAGGTGAGACTGGAGAAAGGCAAAGGCAGGATGGTTTTCTTTTTTTTTTTTAAATCATTTTATTAGGGGCTCATACAACTCATCACATTCTATACATACAGCAATTGTGTAAAGCGCATTTGTACATTCATTGCCCTCATCATTCTCAAAACATTTCCTCTCCACTTAAGCCCCCGGCATTAGCTCCTCATTTTTCCCCTCCCTCCCCGCTCCCCCCTCCCTCATGAGCCCTTGATAATTTATAAATTGTTATTTTGTCATATCTTGCCCTGTCCGACATCTCCTTTCACCCACTTTTCGGTTGTTCGTCCCCTAGGGAGGAGGTCACATATAGTTCCTTGTAATCGGTTCCCTCTTTCCAACCCACTCTCCCTCTACCCTCCCAGTATCACCACTCACATCATCCGCCCTGGATTCCCTGTGTTTCCAGTTCCTATCTGTACCAGTGTACAGGCAGGATGTTTTTCATTTTTGAGACACCCCACCCTAATGGGGCACAACGCCCCCGCCACCACCCTACCCCTTCTAAAATCACTAAGGAAGTGAGCCGCTGTGATCCATGGAGGTGTGCCTAATGAAATCAAGAGTACTCAAGCAAAAGAAAGATTCTCCCACCGTGCAGAGAGTCAGCAGAGGCAGACAGAAGAGTGTACTTCAAACGGCTGTGTTGGAGGATAATGCAGTGATTTTCCACACAATCTCCATCTCCCACCCACAACCCCTTGCTGATCTGTGTGTGAAAAGAACAGAACATACAACTCAAAGTAGACGAGTGAAAAGGAAAGGCTGCACGCACTGACAGGGCCCTTCCCACACGCCAGGACTCGTCCCACATGCACTGCCTGCGAGCGGAGTGAATCTGTGTAACCACCTTTGCCTGGTATTCAGATGAGAAAACAGTGGTTTGAGAAAAAGAAGGAAAAAAATTAAACTGTGATTTGTGGGAACTGTGTGAATTGGGCAGTAAGAATAACAGAATCAGAACCACAAGAAATGATAACTTATCATTACCATGGTTTTAAATGGTTGTTACCTGAAAGGACTGGGCATTTCCAGCTGAGTGGGAATCCAGAGGGGCAACTTGCATTAAGGCAGCAGAAGGTGCTTGGAGCCCAGAAACAGATGGCTGAGGCACTAAGACAGAGCAAGAAGTTTTCACTGTTATCCACCCCTTGCTTCTCCTGGGTTCTAGCACCTTCACACTTGACCACTTTCCTCACTCCGTCTCCTAAAGCCAGCTGTCCCGGGATCTCGGCAATGAGCAAGTGGAAGGAAACCGGGCATTCATTCCCTTGTGCTCAGACCAGCGATGTGGTTGAGAGGAGGTGCAGAATACACACAGGGAGGTGTCTCCTGAGCTGAACGCAGATTTCCCAAACTGACAGTGCAACATAGCTGATGACACGGCAACCAGACCAAAGGCATTTGCAGGTCTGAAACTGCCTACCCAAGGACAAGCTGGTAAGCTGTAACACTACTCTGATTCTTAGTACTACAACAATGTAACTGAACCAGTCCAGGAGTAGTGATGCTAATCTTGGTGCCAACCCAATTCAAGGCCACAGCACGGAAGCTCGGCTCCTTACTTTGTGAAGTCATCTGTGGTAATACTGGATGGGCTGCCGGAGGAGAGGACGGAATGGACGGAGCCACCACAGGCTGCCCCAACCCTTGCAGGGCATTCACAGCCTAAAACAGGACATGGGTTTTGATTAATATGTATTGGCCCTTATTGAAGTTTGGACTTACTGTCCAACCTATGTCTGCTTACAACCCAGGCTTTCTGGACAAAGAATTGAAAGAGTTTAGTCCGGTGTTTCCCAAAGTAGGTGATACCACCCTCTGGGGAGAAGGGGAGGGCACTGGAACCATCAAAGGCAGTGGGGGTGGGGGGGTACGCTGCAAGAGCAGATACCTAAACTTTATCCTGGGCTAAGGGCTATAATACCAAAATTTATCATTGCCAAGGAGGTGTGGAGTAATTTTTTTCCTGAAAATGGGGGAGTAAACCAATAAACTTGGTAACCAAGGGTTTAGACCAGTGGTTCTCAACCTTCCTAATGTCTCAACCCTTCAATACAGTTCCTCGTGTTGTAGTGACCCTGTAAGTGGGCATATCTGCATGTGGGCAGACCCACCTGGAGATGGATAGAGGAGCAGTGTCTCGGTTCCTAAGACCATCAGGAATATGGTCTTAGGCGACCCCTATGAAAGGGTCATTCGACCCTCAAAGGGGTCACAACCCACAGATTGAGAACCACTGGCTTAGACTGTGGGAGAAAAGCACTTACTTTATTGCACTAAGTTCCCCTCCCTTTAAATTACATAAAATGCCAAATATAATTAATTTCCTCAAACATGATCAGCTGTTGACATTTTAAAATCTGAAACAGCTACACTCATGGTTCTGCAAAATGTGTCAAACTAGTAACTCCCTGAAGAACTGGTCCAATGCTTCCCGCCAGAAGCAGAGGGTCTTAGAATAAGGTGACCAGATTTTAACATTGGTAAAGCGGGATACCATTGATAAAACTCATATCCTGGCGAAATAGCCACACGGCAGCCGGAAACCGTATACCCTAGCTTGTCGTGCATTCTTTCCAAAAATCTTGACTTTTTAAAAACGCTGCGGGATGCGGGAAAAATTGTTAAAAATCGGGACTGTCCCACCAAAAGCGGGACGTCTGGTCACCTTATCTTAGAAGGATACTTAGGGAATGGCCCAGCCCCCCCCTCTTCTGCCAATTAATCTCCATAGGCCTCAAGGCCTTCCATAAAAACCTTGCTATCACTGTTTTTTAATAATACAGCTTACGTTTTTACTCCTCATTCTTTTCATAAAACCAAAGCTATGTTGGTTTTTAAGCAAAGTTCTTTCTGTTTTAAACAAGGAAGAGAAAACCTTGCAGTATGAATGTACAGACACTACGATCTGTGGCAAAGCGGTTAAGGCCAACAGCGACCTAGCGACCCCCACGGTGGGGGGCGAGGGGGATGGCAGTCTGCTGCACAGAGATGCACCGCCTGGGCAACCTTAGGAGCTGGCCCACGGTCCTCGGGGCTGCTATGAGTTGGACCTGATGAAAGAGCAATGGGGCTTTTATAGTGCAAGGGCTGAAAACGCTTTGGCATAGTTTTACTTTAGAACATTCTCTTAATTCCTAATACTTTCTTATGGAAAAATACCCCATTTTTAGATCATTGTAGATCTAAAGCAAGCCAAGTATCTAACAATAGAGTAAAAGAAATTAGGATAAACCAATATAATAGAATGCTGAACTATCTTTAAAGCTAATATTACATAGGCATTTATAGTGATACCAATGTTCATGATGTAATATTAAGTTTAAAAATAAGTTTATAAAACAATATATAAAAGATATACTCTTTTGTAAAATGTTTCTTTTTTATTTCTAACTTGTTATTCTACAATGAGTAAGTACCACTTGAACATCTCCGTAGCCGGGGTGGCTCAGTGGTTGCTCAGTGGTTGAGAAACCTTGCAGTATGAATGTACAGTTTTCTCTTCCTTTAAATTACATAAAATGCCTAAATATAATTAATTTCCTCAAACATGATCAGCTGTTGACGTTTTAAAATCTGAAACTACAATGCACCAGCAGTTCGAGGCCACCAGCCAGCCACGCTGAGGGAGAAAGACAGATTTTCTGCTCCCACAGAGTCACTTGTCTCAGAAACCCTCAGGGGCAGGTCTGACCCACATGACAGGGCCTCCAACTTCCTAAAGGGTCACTATGGTGTCACTCTGAGTCAGAATTGACTTGGTGGCAGTGAGGAGACCTGGTGGTGCAGTGGCTAGAAGTTGGGCTATTCACTGCAAGGTGGGCAGTTTGAAGCCACCACCCAGCTCCTCAGGAGACGGACAGGGCTTTCGACTTCCATGCAGAGTTACCGTCTGAGAAACTCACAGGGGCAGTTCTACCTTAGCCTTTAGGTGGCTATGGGTTAGCACCGACTCATGGTAGTGAGTGAGAAACATTTCAATACTTTATTTTTTTTATTTTATTTCTAAGATTCTATTATCCAAAAGTTATTAATGGAGCACCCATTATGAGTTGAACATTATGCTTCTGACTAAAAATTAATCTTTACTAATGTAATAGATTCTAGTAAATTATTATATTAACTACTTAAAACTTTCTGGTATTTGTGGAAGAGATGTGGAATTGCTTCCATTTCTCAAGGGAAGTGAAAGTTTCAGGTTCCAATTTTTATCATTTTGCATGGAATCTTTCTAAATAATTAATGATTCTGGATTAAAGGAAGAAAGAGCAATAATTTGAACCAAAGAACCAAAACAGGGTACCAAATGCATCACTCAGTCTATTGTATCCGGGGGAACATACCTCAGTTACTGAATCATTGGAATCCAGCTGAGGGGGAAGGATGGGCAGCATGGGCTGACCCATCTTGGCCATCCGAGAGATCAGCTTGGCCTTGACTGTATCAGGATTCTAAAAAGAGAGCAGGCAGAGAAATCACTGTAAGCCAATGTCAGTATCTTCAGGTACCTTTATCCCTTCAGCTCTTTTACCAAACCCTTCAACAAGCTCAGCTGCCATGTCTACCTAAAGCCATTTTGTCTAAAAAATGGAAATCAAACATGCCTTTCTTTTCTTTTTTAAAAAGATTTCTTGAGCAGAAGTATACTTGTACAAAGTGATCCACTCGACAGAGAAAGAAATCATCATAACCTCTATTTTCATTATGGTTAAATCACAAACATAAGCCTGCATCAGAGTGAAGTTTCTTAATAAGGCTTTTCCCTAAGTCTCTGTAACTCCCACCAAATGATTGGGAGTGGTGTAGTGGTTATGCATTGGGCTGTTAACTGTGAGGTCAGCAGTTTGAAACCACGAGCCAGCTCTGTGGGAGAAGAATGAGGTTTTCTATTCCCGTTTAAGAGTTAGGCTCAGAAGCCCAAGGGGCAGTTCTACCCTGTCTATAAGGTTGCCACGAGTCAAAACTGACTAGATGGCAGTGAATTTGTTTTTAATACAAATAGGGTGTGTGTAACAGCAACAGAGGGGAATGGTCAGTTTTTGTTACCACCCGCCTGGGTCTAAGGAGGAGCCGTCTTTGAAGCAAGAGCAGAGAGAAGGCACAGGGCCTGGAGAAAAGCATGCTCCAGAGCCCTGTCTGAAGTGGCCGAGGCCGAGAGAAGAGGCACCACAAACTGCCGCATGGAGACCACAGGCAGAGCAAGAGGAGCAGCGCCAAGACAATGGGGCTATGAGACAGAGCGACAGGACAGCTTCCTGCTCAGGGATAGCAGAGGCCAAGAGCTCATGTAGCTGAGAAGCTGAAAAGCTTGGCTGCTGGTTGAGGAAAGGTGTTAATGTAGATTAATGACACTATCCTTACTGTTTACTGTTCCTGACTTGTGGTAACCTATTAACTTCCCTAATAAGCCCTTGTAATTGTGATTGCCTGTGAGTTCTGTGTGACCACTGTACCAAATTATCAAGCCCAGCAGAGAAGTAGAGTGACTTGGGAGGAATGGTTGGCATCAAAGTAGATACAGAAGGCTGGGACATAGAGGCATTCCTGACCCTTGCCTTAAACCAATGGAGATGCCAGAAGAGGTCAGCTTTGGCCCCACTCCATTGATGACCACTACAGAGATCAGCAGCTCAAGGGCAGACAGCTTATAAAGATATGAACACTGATCTGTTAATGCAGACGCTCAGGCTAACTTACACACACTGACTCCCAAGTAAGAGGAAATAAATAGAGGCAATGACTGATTTTTAGTCTGAATCAATAGTTCCCATTTCTTTTCCCCCTTAGCCCACTGGCAGTTCAAACCCATGTAGCAGAATTATGGAAGAGAGAAGTCTTAGGGATATGCTTCTCCTAAGGCTACAGCTCAGGAAACCCTACAGGGCAGTTCTGTTCTGTAACACGTGTGGTGGACCTGAGTCGGATGGGACTGGCGGCAACTAAGAACAAGCTGAAGCACACTAGGGTGGGGGACACAGGCTGTCTACTTACTGGACTGACTGTAAGTTGTTCATTGAGGGAATTAGTTTTGGAACGAAGAGCTGGCTCCCTGAAAACAAAGAAAAAAGCATATTCTTAGATGAACAATTTCCTATCCAAATGGTTATTTATATATATTTTTATTGGATACACAAGGGGGCTTCAAAAAGCTCAAGGAAAAATTCTATCATCTTTCAATTCTATTTTTCCATGAGATTTTTAAAACTCCTTTATTTGTACTTATACTCATGGTCCCATTGTCTTAGTATTCTTATATCACCTGAGTTAGCACATTTATAGTGGCCATTTGTCAGGGAAAGCTGATGCAAGGATTTCCCCCATTTCCTCCATCCAATTTCCTTCTGTTGTTGTAATGTAAAATTACCTTTGTTTTCAACTACATCTTTGTTTCTGAACGTCTCTGCAGTTCCCTTGATGAACAGAACCCCAGCATCTTACCCTGATTTGAAAGGCACTGCTGTGGATGGTGATGGAGCAGGATCAGCAGAGAGGTTGTCAGCACCAGGTGTGGGAGAAGGGGCCGTGGAATCCCCCCGGGAACTAACATTGTGTCCATCAGAGCCAGAGTCTCGGGCTAACTTCACCTAGGAAAAGATCCACCACAGCTGGGAGACATGGTAGACAAGACGCTATTCCCACTCTATTGTCCTTTTATTTTATTTATTCTTCATTTCACAAGTTTATTTACTTGTTCATTGTAGTCCGACACAAACATATAGATAAGCAGAAAGAAAACAGTAATAACCACCTGTAATTAAAGTACCAAGCACTAACTTTCTTAGAATTTCAGATGTATTAGTTCGCATTTTTCTAAGCATTATTTACACAAACCCCTATATTAAAACATACACACCAAGGGGGGCAGAGTCTAAAGCACAAAAACAAATTCACTATAGCAAGTCAATGCTGACTCATAGTGACCCCTTGTGGGTTTCCAAGACTGTAACTGTTTACGGGAGCAGGAAGCCCAGTCTTTCTCCAGAGGAGCTGCTGGTGGTTTTAAACTGCTGACCATGCACATGGCAGTCCAACATGTAACCACTGTACCACCGGGGCTCCTCAAGTGGGGCAGGGTAGAGTAATTTAATGGAGGGTGGGGAGTGTTGATAAGAAGCTTAAATTGTTGAGCTCAAAATTGATCATGTGAAATGTAACATTTGTGATTGTATTTTATTATACTCATAAACACTATCACAATTGAACCTAATAATCACTATGTGAAAGCAGTTTTGTTTGTTTGGAAGGGGAATGTGGTGAAGTGAGATTTCTTAAAATGGCTCTTCTGTCTATCCATATCTCTGTAGTTCCCACCATATGACTGGTGGGACTATGCAAATAGAGTATGTGAAACACTAATAGAGGGGTCTGGCCAGTTTAGTTGCCATTCTCCTGACTTTAATAGAGATACCTCAGAAGCAGGAACAGAAAGAATCCCAAGAACATCAAGGAACAAGAGCCAATAATGGGCGGGTTTGAAATCCTCGGCTGAAGTGCAGAGTCTGAGACCAGTGGATCAGAGGCTGTGGTCTGGACACCATAGGACAGAACAAAGGAGCCAGGCTGAGACAGAGCAGAGGGGCTGTGCCCTTGAGACTTGAAGCCAAGACTGTGCAGGGGGTGGGGGGGCAACAGTCGAGCGTCCTGGCCCGCAAAGGCAGAAGCCAAAGGACCACATGGCTGAGGTCCAGAGACAGAGAAACCTGGCTGTTGGCTGAGGAGAGACGCTATTGTGTGGTGCAGTGACTGTATCCTTACTGTTTACAATCCTGACTGGTGGTACCCTGTTAGATTTCCTGATAAACCTCTGAAGGGCACCTGTCCCAAGCCATGGTATTTTCCATCGCCTTGTATACATGTGAACACTGAGCACTGAATGACAAAGACCAAAGAAGACTCAAGCATTTGAATCATGGTGCTGGCCAAGAATATTGACAAAGCAACAAAGTATGTCTCAGAAGGAATACAGCCAGGATGTTCCTGGAAGTGTGTTGAGAGCTAATCTCATGACCTTTGGACATATTGCAAGGAAAGCTTGGGCCCTGGAGAAGGTCAGCATGATTAGTAACATAGAGGGCAGCGGAAAAGAGGAACGCCTTCGTTCGACAAGATGGATTGACAGTGGTTGCAATAATGGGTCCTGTGAGCATGGCACAGGACCGGGCAGTGTTTCATTCTGTTGTACAGAGATAGGGTCACTATGAATCGGAACCAGCTCGGTAGTTTACAGGTTACCACCAGCATCTAACAACAACCAAGAGTCCTGTACGTGAGTTAAAGAAGCCAGCAGAGAAGTAGTGTTTTGGGTGGAGTGGTTGGTGTCAGAGGAGGGCAAAAGAAGGAAGGGGGGTAGAGGTATGTCTGACCTCTGCCTTGAGGCAAATGGTCTTTGGCTGCTGTAGCAGTGGATGATTCTTCTCCCTTTTGCAACCAAAACCATAACCTCTTCTAGACTCTGCACAGAAAGCCTAGAAAGACATTAACCTTGGTCTTTAGATTCCAAAACAATTGCGCTTCCCACATTAACTAAAAACATACAAAAAACAAAATCTATGTCTAGAAAACTTGATTTTCAAACGAAATTATTTCACTTAATGAGTAAAGCGGCATCCTGGAAGGACATCTCAAACAACACAGTGGTTTCACTCACCCGTCTAACCTCCACCTCGAACACCAGGATGGAGTCCGATGCTGGAGTCCACCCTATGACTCCTTCAGAGCCAGCAGCGCAGGACGGGGGGATAATAAGCAACCGCTTCCCTCCTTTTTTCATACCCAGCATTCCATCCTCCCAGCCCTTTAGGAATCAGAAAAGGTGACAAACTCATCAGACACAAGCTTTCTTAAAAAGAAAAAGCAAAGTACAAGATTATTGGGTTTCACTCAACCATCTTTTTCAGGTTGACACTATTTTTACAGGTCAAGTGTCACAATTCCACCCAAATGGGTTATAAGGTTCCTAGAGTAGCATTTCTTTTTTTTCCTCTTTTTTATCGTTTGATTAGGGGCTCATACAACTCATCACAATCCATACATAAATCAATTGTGTCAAGCACATTTTTACATTCATTGCCCTCATCATTATCAAAACATTTGCTCTCCACCTAAGCCCCTGGCATCGGCTCCTCATTTGTTCCCCTCCCTCCCCGCTCTTCCCTCCCTCATGAACCCTTGATAATTTATAAATTATTGTTTTGTCATATCTTGCCCTGTCCGATGTCTCCCTTCACCCACTTTTCTGTTGTCCGTCCCCCAGGGAGGAAGTCACATGTAGATCCTTGCAATTGGTTCCCCCTTTGCAGCCCACCCTCCCCCTACGCTCCCAGTATTGCCACTCACACCACTGGTCCTGAAGGGAGATTCCCTGTGTTTCCAGTTCCTATGTGTCCCAATATACATGCTCTGGTCTAGCCAGACTTGCAAAGTAGAATTCAGATCATGATAGTGGGGGTGGGGGTGGGGGGGAGGCAGGGGGAAGCATTTAGGAACTAGAAGAAGGTTGTATTTTTCATCATTGCTACATCACACTCTGACTGGCTCTTCTCCTCCTAAAGTAGCATTTCTAACCCTATTTGTAAACACTGAAAATCTGTGGTTAGATGAAACACACTTATTTTAACTGAGGACAGTAAATGGAGGAAATAAAAGAACTGTAACAAAAGTTATCATTTAGTAAGCCTATCTTTCCAGGTATTGGTCTAAGTGTCTTATGTACATTATAGTATTTACTGGATTTTGCCACAAATACTTGTGAGCTTTTTAGTCTACTTCACCCGATCCCCAGTCTTTTCATTAGCACCCTATGCTAATTTTTTTTACATTATAAAAATACTTTGGGGGGAGGGGAGGGGCACAGTTGCTGAAAAAGGTAGAATGGACCTATTATTTGCTTACATAAAGGCTGAAAATAATATCAAAGTGTTGGTAGCATTATCCCCATTTCACAGATGGGATGTTTACATTTACTTAACATCCCAAGAGGTTACAGCTAAGAACATAGAGTTGGTAAGTTTCTCCACAATTCACACCAGACCTGGCTAGCTTCAAAGTCTAACCCCTTTAACTGCTATGATCTTCAGGAAGAAATCTTCCAAAATCTCTGGGGAAAGAAGTCAAGTAAAAAAAGGTATGGAGAAGTCTTTTCTCCCATACAGATAAATGACTACTTCAAAACGCACCGATCAATGTGTCCAACTACAATGATACACCACATATGCAAAAATATTCATTTTCTAAACCACCTGTATGCATAGTGGCCATGAGCAAATTTACAACTTGAGGCCAGGTCCTTGGACTTAAACCCCAGTGCTCCACCTGCTAGGCCACAGTTAGCACTCACACTGTTTGGGGAGTGCTGACTGAACACAGCCCAGATGAAGGCAAATGAACTCACTACGACACACATCAGGGAAGAAGTTCCACCTCTTTCCTCTATCAGGCCTAGAAAACACCCCCAGACCAACTGCCATCGAATCCCTCTTGACTCATCGTGACGCCACAGGACAGAGTAGAACTGCTCCCCAGGCCTTCCAAGACTGCAGAAAGCCTCGCCGCTCTCCTGCCACTGGGCCACGGAAGGAGAGAGGGCAGGAACAAGGCAAGTATGCATATTCAACGTAGTCTCACAGGTACAAGTCTCCCAATGCAGGCAGCAACCACATGTGTCCTCTCCGACTTGTCAGCCAAGCCTTTCTAGACTCAGAATTCACAAAATGTAATCTACATTATGTCAACGGTAGCTGATTGAATTATGTAATAAAAGAGCTAAACCTTTACCTTGATGACTTTTCCGGATCCTAATTTCAGACGAAGCAGTTTGTCTTTGTTAGCAGTGGAGTCAAAAACCTGTAATTCCATCAGTAAGATAAGTCAGCCAATTTAAAAACTCATCATCATCATCATCATCATCAAGATAGTCAACTAACTACATGACAGCACAGGCTTCTGGACTGGGGAATGTTGATAAACTGGGAAAATAGCTCTGAAAGGACCTGAAGGATGGGCTCACAGCTAAGGTGTGACATTACACTGAGTACCTCTGAGACACTGCTTTCCAGGTTTAGAAAATGATGTGTTTCCACCACTATGTATGTCAAAGCATTTCTTGTCTATAAAAGAATTTCAAATAAATTATGTGTTGGAGGCTGACACCAAGCCCACCAAATAAACAAGGTAAAAACTATGAACCACTCTTGGGGGAAATTAAAAGCTTAAATGACGTAGTCAGGTCAAATCAAGATTAACATTGGACCTGAAATCCCATTTTTTTAAAAACTCAACCGAAAGCTATCTTATACTCTATCGCTTCTGAGTATATCCCACCTGTATTTTGAGAAGAGCTCAAGAATAGAGTTGTCTCACTGAACACTAATGATTGAAGACACGATGAGCCGTGGGAGGCCATCAACCACATTGTACATGAAGAAAGCAAGAGGTCACTAGAAAGACAGGAAGGAAAGGAAAGGCCAAAGTAGATGTCAGAAGAGACTCTGAAACGTACTCTTGATTGCAGACTAGCGAAATCACACGGAAAAGTGATGAAGTGAAAGAACTAAACAGAAAATTACAAAGGGCAGACTGAGAAGACAAAGTATTGTGATGAAATGTGAGAAGACCTGGGGTTGGAAAACCAAAAAGGAAGAACATGCACAGCATGTCTCCACCAGAAAGGACTGAATGTAAAAAATCAAAGCCTCTGATTACAGTATTAAAAGATTCTATGGGCAAAATACTGGATGATGCAGGAAGCATCAACAGAAGATGGAAGGAATACACAGAGTCACTGCACCAAAAAGAACTCGTCAGCATTCAACCATTTCAAGGACTGATGGTAAGAGACGTCTAAACGGCACCAAAGGCATTCTTGAAAAGCAGAGTTCCAGGATGATGGAATATCACTTGAAATGTTTCAATAAGACAATGAACCACTGGAAGTACTTGGCTTAGGCCAAGATCTGGCCAATGTACTGGAAAAAAATCCTTATTTGGGCCCATTCCTAAGACAGATGACCCAGCAGGATGTGGAAATTATTGAACACTATTACTAAGTTTGCAGAAGACCATTCAACAGTGGTTGAAACAGTAGATCAACAGGGAGCTGCCAGAAATTTAAGCCAGATTTAAAAGAGGATGTGGAACAAGGGATATCACTGCTGATGTCAGATTACTCTGGGCTGGGGGCAGAGAATATCAGAAAGATGTGTACTTGTGTTCTATTGACTAGCACAGGCATTCACTTGTGTAGATCATTCAGTAACTAACTGAATAGCATTGTGAAGAACGGACACGCCAGATTACCTTGCTGTGCTCACACAGACCTGTCTACGGTTCAAGAGGTCGTCATTAGAATAAAACTGAGAGACTACTGCATGGCTTAACATCAGGAAAGGTGTTGTGTGCCAGGATTGTATACGTTCACCATATTTATTCAACTTGTATACTGAACAAACAATCCGAGAAGCTGGACTGTCTGAAAAGGAACCTGGCATCAGGATTGGAGGAAGGCTCATTAACAGCCTGCAATATGCAGATGACACAACCTCACTTGCTGAAAGTGAGAAGAACTTGAAGCCCTTGCTGCTGAAGATCAGGGCCTGCAGCGTCCACTATGGGTCACACAAAGAAAACCCACATCCTCACAAGGCAACCAGTAAGGAGCATCATGATACGTGGAAAAAAGATGGAAGGTGTCAAGGGTTTCACCTTGCTTGGATGCACAAGCATGCTCATGGAGGCACTCTCTTTTTACAAGAGCAGAAAGCCTCAACTTTCTCCCATGGAGCAGCTGGTGGGTTTGAACTGCCAACCTATGGTTACAAGCCCAACACTTTAATCTCTGTACCACCTTGGCTCCTGGGCAAAATATACCTATGAACAATTAACAAACATACTTGGGAAATGAGTTTCCACTTTCCCTAAGAACCAGAACCACAGTGGCTCTGCACAGATTTATATATTACCCTATGTCATGGACATAAGGTCGCAATGGATCAGCAGTGACTCCACGGCGCTGAGAGCCCTCCATGAACACTAACTGGGGATCCAAGCAAGATGAAATCCTTGACGGCAGCAACACAAATGCCAGGTGATAGTGACTAAAACAGGGCTTCTTGACAAGAGCTGCGAGCCACAATCATAACGCCTGATGTTTGAATAGCTCTGGCTCTCCTTAAGCAACAAAGGAACTTGCAAGGGTACATTTTCTTACCTGGCCCAGCCCATGATTCTGGAAGAGCCAGCCGGTATATGCCACTTCCAGAGAATCTCCAACTTCTACAGCAGAGCCCTCCGCTACAGTGAGGTCCTGTGCGAGCACCACATCCAGGGCAGGGGCACTGTTGCACTTGGCAATGCACACCTACAAGATAAAACCGTGGCAGCATAAGCCTACGTTCAGGCTTAGCACATGCTCACTTCACTATGCTCTTTCCCAAACAGTTGAATCCACTAATAAAGCAAGACATTTTATGAAGCAAGCCATTCCAAAGTTATACACCTTCCCAGGAATCAAAGTGGCTAAGACAATGGCTTTGACATCTAAGGAGTTAACCACTTACAAATTCTGTGACCTTGGTCAAATATTTAACCTCTATGTACCTAAGATTATCCATTCATAAGTAGAGATAAAAACATAAGGTGGTTCTGAAAATTGCCTGAGCCAATACAAATATAGCACCTGGCACACTATCTGGCAAATAACAGTATCACAGATCATCACAGTAAACTGCTATGATCTACTATTTCAGCATTTAAAAGCTATGAAAGAAAAGAGTGCCTCCCCAGAACAAAATCACACCCAATGTGAATGGGTGGGGGGTGGTGGTAAGGAGCACATCGAGTGGAGACCTAAAGCCCATCTGTAGACAATTGGACATGCTCTCACAGAAGGGTCACAAGGAAGAGGTGAGCCAGTCAGGGTGCAGCATAGCAACAATGAAACACACAACTTTCTTCTAGTTCTTTAATGCTTCCTTCCCCCCACTATCATGACCTCAATTCTACCTTACAAATCAGATTAGACCAGAACATGCACACTGCTACAGATAAGAGCCCACAACACAGGGAATCCAGGATAGATAAACCCCTCAGGGCCAACAATGAGAATAGAGATACCAGGAGGATTAGGGGAAGGTGGGGGGGGAGAAAGGGAGAATCAATCCCAAGGATCAACATATAACCCCCTTCCAGGGGGACGAACAACGGAAAAGTGGGTGAAGGGCGACAGAGGACGATGTAAGATATGAAAATAATTATAACTCATCAAGGGTTCAGGAGGGAGGGTGGGCGGGGGAGAAAGGGGGAAAAGTGAAGAGCTGCTATCAAGGGCTCAAGTAGAAAGAAAACGCTTTGAAAATTATGCTGGCAGGATATGTGCAATGTGCTTGACACAATGTATGAATGTATGGATTGTGATAAGAGATGTAAGAGCCCCCAATAAAAGTATTTTAAAAAAAAAGAAAAAAGAGCCTCTAAAAAACTTCTAAAAGGCATCAAAAAAGGTCCTTTACAAAACCACGCTGCACCTTGAACTCATGCTACCTATTGCTATCACCACATTAGCACAGATCACGGACAAAGGAATTGGATGCATTTTTTGTGAATATTCTATAGTCAACGTTTTTGTTGGTATATGTTAAAAATCTATCACTCATTTTCCTTTTGAAAAAGTTTCATTACGGCAATCAAATAACTGTTAACTAAAAGAATAAGACATCACTTTATACCAAGCAAACAGGACTAGAAGGAAAGAATAAAGGTAATTCTCAGTGCTAGGAAAGGCATGGTGGGGAACCCAGTCCTTCTGTTTCTAGAACGGGTCAGACAATTGATTATGAGTGTGATATAGTGCAGTATTTGTGAAAAGCATCGTGTCAAAGTATATTCAGAACCTAAACACATCTGGATTTGTTGACACATCGATACTCACTTTTAGAATTTTAGCCTGGGAAATAACCAAGGGAGAAGGGGATGGATACAGATTATACACAAAGATGCTTACTACTGCGTCATTTGCCTCTTGTACAACAATACCTGAGAAGATAGCTTTACTTATTCTTTATGTGGTGGGAAAATGTTTTAATCAAGTAAGTTTTATATTTAGTCTTTTTTTCTTTCAAAAGTTTCATTCTCAACGAGTATGCCTCTATGTCTCTAAAATACAATAGGCTCAAGTAACAAATTTAGTAGGTTTTTTAATGTTTTCCACTAACGGGGAGTAGATTATCTTTAGGAAGTAGTGAGTTTATCTATGGTAATGAGAAACTTGGCATCAATTCAAGGTAATGGTCACACACAACTTACCTAATGTCAACAATATCACTAAGTCATACACCAGAGAAAAGGCAAAATGGCAAATGTGTTACATGAGATTTTACATCAGTAGCAGCAGTCAACAATTACATAGAACATGCAGCTGCTGAAACTACGTAGGTACAAACACCTTGTGGGATTAGCTTTCTTGGTTCCAAGTAATAGAGCCAGGGCTTCATGGGACTGTTCAACCAATTTGCCTAACACTGAGAGTTTCCACTGGGCCTCCAAATTCATGAATAGTGCCTGAGGTCTTAAAGGCTTGCAAGCACCATCTAAGATACAATGATTAGCTTCTATTTTCCAGAAAAAGCAGAGGAGGCAGCCCAGGTATTGGAAAAGGAATTGGACTACGTATCTAATAGCCTCCAATATCTCCTTTGCATGTGACCAGAAAAAGTAGATGGTGCCCAGCCGCTGTAATTGAACATTTGATCCAGGGTTCAACAGAAGAATCCTGGTCAAAAGGGAGAAAAATGTGAAACAGAATTTCAAACTTCTTAATAGAATCCAGACTTACGCGATCCAGTAAGGCTAGGAACCCCTAAATCTGTTGCCATGACAAAACTTTTGGACTTTAAACCAATACTATCCCCTGAAGTAATTTTCAAACTAAAATACAGTTTAGCTGACTTTGTAAAGAATGTTTACCTTGAGCATTATGCTCTTGTAATGAGTTACCTGTATCTGATCAAATTAATCATGGTAATAACTTTAGAGCTTAGGGGGCAGTGAGTCTAAGTCAATGAGGCTGAAACAATATGGGGGATGAGAGTGAGAATGGTGACACAATGTGAGGAATGCAAACAATGCCACTGACCTATACAGTAAATTGTTAAACCGGAGTGTGATCTGCTGTGTATATGTCCACAAAATAAATACTTATCCAGTGATATGTTTTCCATATATTTTCTTTAAAATCGGGGCACTCTAGACATGTGTTCTACGTTTCACAAGAAAAATAGATATTACCTGTTTGCTGAACTCCACAGCAGCCTTTTCTGACTCAAACATGATGGACCAGTTTTGCCTCTGGTCATCATAAAAGGTGCTATAGTTATTGGGCTGAACCTGGAGGAGAAACGTTGGAATAATTGAACCACAAACAATGAAATGCCTAAACCGGACTGCATGGAGAGAGACCTAAAGTACAACCAAGAAAGAGATATCTTAAGGAATTCTCTTCTTCCTCCCATCTTCCACCAACCACACTTCATACCATATTCTTAGATGGTAACAGAGACCTTTCTGTGAGGCTTTGTTAAGATACCCACACCAGTGCTCAGGGTGAAGCAGATACAATGTGTATCAAATATACTCAGATTGATCTCCCCTACAACTATCCCAAAGGAGCTAATGATTCCAATATGAGGAAGTCTTACCAACAGCTCAAAGTGCAGGTGAATCCGGGCTACTGTAACCGGCTGCTGCTGACTAATATAAAGAAGAATCCTATACTGTACTCAAGCAAAAATGGGGCAGGGAGAGAGAAAAAAAATGAGGACAAGAGCTAAAAAAGACAATACAAAATTAGCACTACGATGTCAGGAGTCATCCTTCATACAGCTGTAAAACTGAAACTAACCCAACCCCTTAAAGCTTAGACTGTAAATAGTATCTTACTATCCATCCTAATTTTGCTCCTCATTTTCACCTTACTTCTTAACTATAACTAGAGATATTTTTATTTTGAAGACTTCATTTATATGAAGGGTGACTAAATGCACAAATCTTAAATTCAAATTTTACACCTATTTACCTACATATACACATATGTATACACAGACGTATAGCCACATGGTCACCACCTAGATTAAAAAAACAATGCAACACCCCAGAAGATTCCTCTGTGCTCCTTCGTAGTCAGTAAACCTCACCCTCAAGTAACCACTTTTCGGACTTCTATCACTGCTGAGGCTTGCTATTTTCAACCTGTATATAGTGGGATCCTATAGTGTGTCTTGCTTCTGTTAGTCAGTGTTATGTGTGTGATTCATCCTTGTTTCATGTACCAGTCCTTTGTCCTTTTTATTGCTATATAGTATTCTATTACATGGACATGCCACAATCTACTATTCTTTTCTCTTGCTTATGAGCATTTGCATTGTTTTCAGTTAGGAGTTATTACAAATAGTGCTTCTATGAGTATTCTATTCACATCCTATATAATCATATTTAATACCCACAACCATCCTAGGCCTGATATGCAAAGGGACGGGCACACACAGAAGACAGGAGCTAATTCATACTGGAGTACACATGCAGTGTGAGGCACTCACCTCTCTGGCTGTGTGATTCCCCAGGACTGCAGCACCAAATTTGCCCTGCTTCACATATTGGCCATTTATGCTGGAGAGGCAAGGAAAGCACAGTCTTAGTCCTTCCTTGCACTATGCAGGACCAGCTTTCTTTCTGACACCTGGAAGTGGGGAAGGTCACTGTGACAGAGTCAGCTCAATGACTTTTGGAGAAGCGGGGAATCTAGTCTTTCTGTTTCTAGAAAGGGTCAGACATGAACAGTTTATGATTTAAAGCTCTTACACTTTTTCTTTACACTCTAAGTATCTACTATTCACAATATCTGATTGGAAAGACTGAGCACTTACAAACACTCATATGAGCACTTACACAGGCAGTTATTGAGATACAAGCACTTCCCCAAGGAGACAGGCAAGATAATAACTCTGTAAGTCTTAGGTACAGGAATCTCCAAATGAAATGTTAAAAAGCCTTACTGACGCTTTGTTGACAGAAAGCTAAGTAGCCATTCTGCAATGATAAGAGGCTTACTAAAGAAAGATATTAGCTTGAAACCCCAACCTATCTTCAGAAGACATTCCTTCTCAGCTACTCACTATCTATACGCATGGACTGCTGTTGCAACCAGTACTGTGGAGGTGCCTGTTGTAGCTGGTGCCGTTTTCTGTGCTGCCTGGTTTCCTGAAAACAGAGAAGAAAACAAAGTTGTCATTCATTTATTGCTCGAAACTGATTTTTGACCTTTAGGCTTTTTAAATCCCTTCTTTACCCCTCACAATGAAGGCATATGCTTTCATGATGCTGACCCAATCTGAGCATGAGGAAACGAAGTTCTAAGCAGCCAAGTGGCTTAAATGACAAGAGCAAGTCTAGGACTAGAACCCATGATTCCACATACGTTAAAATAAAGAATCTTTGGCCTAGACAACAACCATTGTCTAGAAAGTAAAGTCATCATCCATTTAGTTTCTTTTCTCTTTCTAATATTTTCTCAGCTCTAATAAAGGAAGATAAAGTTATTCCTCCTACTTCCCTTATACATGGGACTGGAAATTTATGATCTGATATTTAAATCACATCCATTATTTAACTCCACAAAGTACTGTAAAACAACACTAATGCTTTTTTCTTTTTAATCATTCTACTGGGGGCTCGTACAACTCTTATCACAATCCATACATACATCCATTGTGTCAAGCACATTAAAACAACACTAATATTTTGAAGCAAGACATTTCGAGCGAATCACATACCTACACTTACTATGTATGTGTGTTGACAGAAAAGTAGTGAGATAACATTGGCGTGAACAGGGCAAACAACAACTTATTTTCAAACATTTTCTGCTTGGATTTGTCTTTTCTATTGACACAATTCCACCATGCTTTCATGCCCCTCATGAATGTTATGTACGCTACAGAACAGTTCATGAAAAGCATTAAGGGGAGGCCCAGCTCCACCATCGCCTGCGTCGCCAGCATGCCACCCTACACCATCGTCTACTTCCCCGTTCGAGGGCGCTGCGAGGCCATGCGCATGCTGCTGGCTGACCAGGGCCAGAGCTGGAAGGAGGAGGTGGTGACCAAGGAGACTTGGATGCAGGGACCGCTCAAGGCCTCTTATCTGTACAGGCAGCTCCCCAAATTCCAGGACAGGGACCTCAGCTTGTACCAGTCCAACGCCATCCTGCGGCACCTGGGTCGCTCCCTGGGCCTCTACCGGAAGGACCCTCGGGAGGCGGCACTGGTGGACGTGGTGAATGACGGCGTGGAGGAACTGCGCTGTAAATACGGCTCCTTCATCTAAACCAACTACGAGGCTGGCAAGGAAGATTACCTGAAGGCACTACCTGGGCACCTGAAGCCCTTTGAGACCCTGCTGACCCAGAACAAAGGGGGCCAAGCCTTTATCGTGGGCGACCAGATCTCCTTTGCCGACTACAACCTGCTGGACCTGCTGCTGATCCACTAAGTGCTGGCTCCCAGCTGCCTGGACGCCTTCCACCTGCTCTCCGCCTACGTGGCACGGCTCAGCGCCCGGCCCAAGCTCAAGGCCTTCCTGGCCTCTCCCGAGCACGCCAACCTCCCCATCAACGGCAATGGGAAACAGTGAGGGCCGTGGGAGCCTTGGGTGGGCGTGGGGGCCGCCTGCCAGCCTTTCCTGGCCCACCATCAGCCACTGCTGTCAAGACACTTCCCATTTGAAGGGACCCCCTTCGAAGAGGGCAGAACTGCTCCCCTGGGTTTCTGAAGCAGTCAATCTTTATGGAAACTGACTGCCCCATCTTTCTCCCTTGGGGGAGCTGGTGGGTTTGAACCGGCTGAGTTTTCAGGTTAGCACCTGAGTGTGTAACCTGTGGTGTCCCCAGGCTCCTTCTCCTCCCTTTTCTGGAGCAATAAAAGTTGTCTGAGGAAAAAACAAAACAAAACAAACAAACAAAAAAAGAAAAAGCATTAAGGGGAAAAAGCAGGCTGGTAATACCACTATCCAAAAATAAACAATGCTGATAATTTTATGTATTTATTCCCAGTCTTTTTTTCTGTACACATAAACCTGACCGCTTGACTTTTCTTATCTTTTAAAAAATAAAATTTAATGATAGGATTTGACAACCTCATTTTCTCGCCTGATATATTGTAAGCATTTCCCTAAAAACTTCAGAACAGTCCCTAAAACAAGGATAAAATTGTCTTTAAAATGCTCTTGAATGCCTACATAGAATCCTGTCTATCTCTAATTTGTGTTACTTAAAAAAAAAAATTAAGGTTTTGTTACATCCTGCCCAAATGCCCTTCAAAACTGCCACTCATACCCACGGGTAGTGAGCATACAAGTTCTGCACCCTTGCCAACAGAGGGACACATCTTTTAAATCGTTACCAACTTGATATCTCAGTAAAGAGAGAGGAGTGCCGTCTCACTGTTGCTTGCCTTTCCTGAGAGAGGCAGATTTGCAACGTTTATACTAGTTTTGCATTAGCCATCTGTAATTTTTTACTGAATTGCCTATACATGTCATTTGCTTGCTTTCTCAGTAAGGTGTTCAAATTTTCCTTGTTTTGTAAAAATCACAAGATGGTTTTTATTCAGTCAGTTTTATGTAATACTATCACAGACCTTTTCTCTGGAGAAGCCATCGACACCAGGATAAAAAAGTACTGAGACCAGAGTGATGAGAACAACTCTGAAACACTAAAAACAAACAAACAAACAAACAAACAAACGCCCCAATGTCTCCACAAGGTCAGCCTAGCATCCTCCTCCAGGCTAATTCAGCCTTTCCCTGTGTACTCAGCCCAGTATCTCCCTGCCAGACCCATGGACATCAGCAAGCTAGCTCGATGCCAGTGGGATAATTGGGTCAGATGCCCACAACCATGTGAGCTTCTTCTTTCTTATTAACTTGGCATTCCTCCAAAACCAGTACTGTTCAGATTCCTAAATATCCCATTCATGAGGATTTTTTTCAATATGTAACGTCAACAATTTTTCCCACAGAGCTTTCTTGAATTTTAATTTTAGTATTTGTTCTTTTTTCCCTCTGCTTTCGTTTTCTTCTTCTTCAAAAAACCTCCTTTATTAGCAATATACTGACTTTGCTATCTTTAATACTTGTCACTTTCTCTTGAATTCCTTTTATTGCCTATTCATCTTTTATCCTTGAAAAATTCTTCCTTTTAACTTAAAATTTGTTTTCCTTTTAACTTTTATTAAGAATATTGAGGCAAAATAGGTTATGTTTGTTTATTCCTGTGTTTCTTCTGATTTAGCCTTCAATCTGAAATAAGTTTTCCTTTCCTTCCTCATTCTTTCCTGAGTCCGCCCCCTATTGGCTACTTATTTCTGAGAAGGAAGCACGGGGCAGGTGGCTTTTCTAACATCACAGAGGTGTCTCCTCTGTTGTTGTTACATAGAGTTAAAAATTATCTTGCCTTCCTTCCCATAGGGAGGCCCACTTTTATTTGGAATGGATCTTTCCTTTGCCTCGAATGTCCCTATCCTCCTCAATTTTAATTCCACTCCCAGCAGGTTCTTTTGAGTAGGGAGCCCTATCCCAGAGGGTCATCCAAATGGGCGACTTTCAAAAGCTCATGTGAGGATGACTCCTCTCAGTCCTATAGATAGCACCATCAATTCTTACACCACCTACAACTAAAGTGGACAAAACCCCTTCCAATTTCAGGTTAACCTGCTAGACTTCCATTGGGCATGTTGAGGTGTATGCTTGTATTTCGGGGTTTATAAAGATACTTTCCAGTTGGTTTTGTTAGAAACATTATCTTTAGGTTTTGGATATCTCTAGCTAGTGGCCCTGTTTTTATATTAAGAACTATGCAAAAAAAATAAATAACTATGCCACCCACTAACCCACTCCCGGGGAGGGTATTGTTTATGTCTCCACAGGAAAGGGAAAGGGACCGGACCTCAACCTGGTGCGCCAAGCCTTGAGGGCAACATCCTGTCATGAAGCAGCAAACTAACAGAGAGGTCTGAGGGGCCAGTCCGCATCCCAGCTATGCTGATCCCCTCCCCAGAAGATTGCACTACAGAGGACAGCACTGAAGATACAGCCCAGGGAGAGAAGTGGGTCTTCCCAGACCACATAGGAGCAAACTAAAAGAGAGAGAGAGAATGAGAGAGAGAGAGAGAGAGAGAGAGAACCATATCCTGGCCCACCAAGCCTCGAGGACAACACTCCTGCTTGGGGCAGCCAAAGCACAAAGAGGACTGTAGGGCCAGCCCCACCATGAAAAACGATGTCCCCCCACTGACCCAAAGTGCTATAGGGGATAGCACTAGACACAGTGCAGGAACTGTACCTGGTCTGACCCCACACACTGGGGCGAAACACGAAGGGAGCAAAGCACGAAGTCCCTGAGGAATCCCAAAATAGACTTCAGACTCGGAGCGCAGGGCTGGGCCCCTCATCAGACTCAATCGGAAAGCATACATAAGGGTCAGCAGACAGACCTGAAACTATTTATAGGCCCTTTTTTCTTTCATGTCTATCTAAGTAAGACAGGCAAGATAAACAATTCTGAGGAGAAAACAGACCATTGGTGTGGGGGTAGGGTGGGAGTGAGGGAGCTGGGGACAGGTAGGTGGGGAAAAGGGAGGGGGAGCCAATAAACCCAGGGTCACGGGAACAACAAAAGATCTAAAATCGATGGCAAGGAGTGTGTAGAAGGCCTGATAGGGTTTGATCAAGTGCAATGTAGCCGAGAGGAATTACAGAGAGCCAAATGAAGGTCAAACATGATAGTGGGACAGAAGGAAAGTAAAAGGTAACAGAAAAACTAGGGGGCAAAATAAATTTATAGTGATAAATATAGGCATGTACATATGTAAATATATTAGTACATAACAATAGGGATACAGGTCTATGTACATATATTTATATGTTAAATATCAAAGTAGCAGACAGACATTGGGACTCTACTCAAGTATTTCCTCAACGTAAGAACACTTTGTTCTAGTGATATGGCATCTTGTGATGCTCAACTTCCCAACAAGATTGCTAAAGACAAAATGGGTGCATAAGCAAATGTGGTGAAGAAAGCTGATAGTGAAAATATAGCACCTGGAGCCTTGCTTGAAGTTAAACAAGCAGCCATCTAGCAGGGAAGCAACAAAGCCCACATGGAAGGAGCACACCAGCCTGTGTGATCACAAGGTGTCAAGAGGATCAGGTTATCAGGCATCAGAAGACCCAAAATAAAAAATCATTATTGATGCAAACGAGGGGGGGTGGAGTGGAGACCCAAAATCTGCTCCCCCCCGCCCCCAACTACCATGACCCCAGTTCTTCCTTATAAATCTGGCTAGACCAGAGCATGTACACAGGAACAGATAAGAGCTCTCGACACACAGAATCCAGGACAGATAAACCCCTCAGGACCAATAATGGATGTAACGATAACATGAGGCTAGGGAAAGGTGGAGGAGAAAGGGGAAACCTATGGCAATGATAGACAGATGCTCCCAGGGAGAAAGACGGGACTTTCTACTACCATAGCCCCCAGATTCACAGGGGCAGTACTACCCTGTCCTGTAGTGTCACTATGCATCAGCACTGACTCAATGGCAGTGAGTTTCATTTTGTTTTGGTTGTTTTCTGACAAGAAAAACAAGTGATGGCAATGGATAGTAACTGAAGTTATTAATTTTTCTCCACACCCATTAACTGAACCACTTTAAATAAATTCAGAAGCACCCCACTGATGAAGAAATGCACCTGGGAAAACATAAAGTTACATATAGCTCATTGAAAGTCTGCAGGTTACAGCGTGGAGAATAGAGCCAAAAACCTAAGAAAAGTTAGTAAAAGTGGCAGGCACAATATTTATTGCAAGTATTAGTATTTTTGGTAAACGACCAGACCAAAAATATTTTAAGCATTATGGGCCATATGGTATCTGTCACAATTACTCCACTCTAAATATCTGACAATATCCCCAATGTCAGCATTGGGCCTAGCATGTAAAAGGCACTCAGTGGTTTTATATTTAATCAGCAAATATTTAATTAATGTCCTTGCTTCCTGTGTGCTCAGGGCTATTACTGCTAGTTGTTCCTCTTCTACTATTAAGTTCATGCACAAAGTTAGCGAAGTATAGATAGAGGAAGGAATAGAAGTTTTGGAGTCAGTCACAATTCACAATTCAGGGTTCACAATTCAATTCTGTCACTTGCTAGCTATGTTAACTTGATCACTTTGCTCAACCTCTCTCAGCCTCTAAAACCGGGGGCCGTCTCATCACCTATTTCTCAAAACTGCTGTGATAATAAGCCAACCGATGGAAAAACTTAACGTACGACTGACACAGAATGGGCATTTTAAAAATGTGAGTCTCCCTTTCTCTCCTTTCATTCAACTAACCTGTTAAGACACAAACCTAATGCACAATTAACTCACCTGTTGCAGCTGTTGTCTGGCCTTTCTTAGGCTGCTTTGGGGCGGTATACTGGAAGAACTCATTTCCATGGCCAGCAGCTGTCTGATCCAGTCCAAAGAGAGAGGCCAATCTGGCACTGTTAAAAGAAGGAGAGTTCAAGAGATTTCTTTCTTTTTTTTTTTTTATCAATCATTTTATTGGGGGGATCTTACAGGTCATATAACAATCTATAATTCAATTGTATTAAGCACACTTGTACATATGTTGTCATCGTCATTTCCTAAACATTTTCTTTCTACTTGAGGCCTTGGACAAGAGATTTATTTAGACATACTTGAGTCACAATAAAAGCTGCTCACCTCTAACCTTGAACCTCACCAAGACATCCTTGAATGTATATTGTACCCTTCAATACTACAAGTGGGAAGCCAAGTGTCTTTGCAACCAAGGCTGCATTTCTGATGCGAACATCATCAGCTGACCCTGTCCATCACAGGACATCAAAGAATTTCTTCTTTCTAGATCTCAAATTTCTCTACCTGCAAACTGAAGTGATTGGCCCAAATGCTTTCTATGATGTCTTCAAGCTCTAAATTTTTGCCTTGAGGTATTCAGTTTCTAGGCATTCCTGCTGATTACTCTCCCCGCTGCTATTTTTTAGTTTGTTGCATGGAGCTAAAACTACACTCCACCCTTACTCATCAAACACGAGCCCTTCAATCAATTCATCTAACAGGCAGGACCATTCTTTTTATCACTTCCTTAATGGCTTCTTATGCCCCCACCGTTCCACTGACTTAGTTCTTGCTAAGGTCTCCAACAACCCGTTACTAAACCCAGTTTAGCACTCCTTCTTTTATTTGACCTCCATATCACCTTCTTCATACTGTCACCTAATTTGTTATCCAAATACATTCTTCTCTTGGCTTCCGTGGAGAAACCTACAAGAAGGTGGG